TTTAGTTGAAATAGTAATAATTTATTTTTGGTATACAATAATTATCGCTAATTAAAGACTTTAAATTCTCTTTTATATAGAAATAGAGTATTCTTCTAGAGATCACAGACATGTGTGATCACATAATAAGCAATTATTATTGTTTTTACGAGATTTATGCTACTTAAATATTATTATACATGAATCAAAAGTTGGGATCAAGTTTTGATTACTAACTCAACTTTGAAGCTAAACTAGACCGAACAGGACTTTTAATAGCCTCTAGTATCAAAAGTGTTTTTAATTATATATATGATCTGAAAATATTTAATTGATATTTATATTACTTAAATTCATGCCTATCTTAAAAACAATTTATTAAAATAAACCCTTTTTATGCAATCGTCAATACTTTATTTCCACTTACCAATTTTTGAATTATTGTGTCAGAATCGAATAAATTTTTTTTTGGTATGTGCTTATATACTTAAATACTCTAGCTATATTGAAAATTAATACTTTGATTTGATTCTAAAAGTCCAGTCCTTTGCTCTACTAATTTTTCTTAATACGTAAAATGTATATAGCAATAGAGATCAATGACTAAGGGTGCTCTCAAGCATCTAAATCAATAGGTCTAAGTTTAATTTTAATTAGTTGAAAATAAATTATTTGGTTAAGCGAGTCTATTATTATGATAAAAAAAAAGATGGTTAAAGACTATCTTTTTTATCATAGAGTTGTGCTGGTTGACTAAAATTTAATATCTGTATTTCGCAACGTGAATTCTCAACAAAATTACTATAAGGTCTATTTTAATTAATCATAGTACTTGTGCATGAGCTAGCTAATTACACTGAAAGAGATATTTGAGAGCATCCTAAATTAGACTATAATCTCATAACAGCTCTTTCAAACAATAGTAAAAGATGTTTCAGATCTTAGTTGAGATTAATTTATTATAAAGCTTACTCTTTCACTTCTATCTAGTTATTCTGATTAGTTATACATACAGTATATTTAGATCTGAGATTTTGTCTATCCCCTCTCATGCTACGATATTAGACATTTTTCTAACAGTTGCAAGCTTTATTATAAAAAAATGGAAACATTAAAAAAATTTATATATAAAGTTATTTTTCAGAATATGTCTGAGAAAATTCCTGAATATATTAATTTAGAAGAAAAAGATACTTGCACAGTTTGTTACGATATAATTAGTCTAACTCTTCAAGAATCAATTACGATTTTAACATATCATCATTTTTTTCACAAAAAATGTATAAGCCATTGGGTTGTTAATTCAAAACTTTTTTGTCCTAATTGTTGAAATGAGGCAAATACTAAAAATAAGACCATTAAAATTAAAAATTTAATGAATATAAATAATGATGAAAACTTTGATACTACTATAATACTTACTATGTTCATGATACCTATATCATCTATAGCATCTATAGCACCTACTACGCTTATGACGCCTATATCATCTATAGCATTCACTACTGCTGTATTTACATCTACAGCATCTACTATACCTTTAGTATTTACTACATTTCCAGAATCTGCTTCTACATCTTTAACATCCATGGTATTTATTACACCTGTAGTATCAGAACCCATATACTGAACCTACATCTATTAAACCTATATATACCAAATCTATGTATGTTGAACCTACATATGCTAAATCTATATATAATGAATCTACATATACTGAATCTATTATATCAGTAGTATCTACTTCATCCGTTTCATCTGTGATAAGAAAAGATAAAAATTTTCAAGAAATTTTTAAGCAATTAAAAACTCTTGTTAATGATAATGATATATTTGAAATTATTAGTAGTAGTGAAGATAACACAAAAAGTATTGTTGAGAAAAATGATACAACATCAGGCTTGGTTTTACTATATAATAAAGCAAATCGTAATAAAGAATATGCAGCACATGCAAACTAAGCTGAAATATTATCGTGATATTATTATGCTGAAGGGTTTGAAAAACCAGTAAAACAAATATTAAATAATACTAGAATAACTACAAACAAGGCAAAATCAAAGTCTATAAAGAACTTTTGACCCGTCTTGTAGATGTTGATTTAAAAACTTTACAAAAAAGAACACAGAGAGCAAATACTGTATATAATTTATTTAAAAAAATTGGAGTTGACAAAATTCGACGAATTAAAACATATAGTTTTTATTTAATTGCAGACCTTATTATACCTCAAATTAAAATAATCAAAAATTATTTTTTGTTACAACAGGATTGATATTAAAATAAATATAATATTAATTTTTCAAATATAAAACTCAGATTTTTGTAATTATTCAAATTAAACAGAAGTTAGCAGATTATTTTGGATACTGTGACAAAAAATAACATAATAATTGTAAATAAGCTTTTTGTAATCTTATAGTAACAAGGTTACTCTAATTAGATTTTTATATTGTTATACTATATTTACATAATAGTATATAGCTAATTTAAGTCTAATAATATGTATATAAATAGAGATAGTAGCTAGAAAATACTTAGAAAGTTTTTGAGTTTTAGTTTTTTGAAATAAAAGATATTTTAGAGGACTAAAGTGTACCAGGTACACTTATTAAAAAGATACTTACTTGTAATGCTTATATTTCTTTGTATTTTTAGTATTTTGTACGCAATAATAAATAATTGGTTTCTTACTTTTAATGTTTAGGCTGTTCAAAGTTGATTAGTTGTTTAATGTCAACATTTTGAGTTTAGGCTCAGGGAAAATTTAAACAAATACATATACAATACAGAAAATTTGGTCAAATCTTATTGGTCAACTTTAATCACATAAATATTGATGCATTGTAATTGGCTTGTTTAATTTCTGGGGGCAGCCAAAAGGGATGACATTAAACAACTATTCAACTTTGAACGGCCTTATGATCAGATTACCTCGAATTTGTCATCTCAATATCAAAATAACAAGATCAAAATAATTATGTGACAAACTTGCTATATCGACATTGAGTTGAAATGATGTACTGGTTGATTATGAAAAAGGTTTATGATCAAAGTGACCATTCAAATAGGTATCTTAAATTTGTTATCTCAATTCAACGTCGATGTGACAAATTCGAAATTGTCACATGACAATTTTGAATTTGTCATATCGACGTTAAATCAAGATAACAAATTTAAGATAACTAATAAAAATTAAATATACTGTATATATTTACAGTATTTTGATAAATATTACTTGTACATTACTAAATAAAGTACTCTAGATTTAAAAATAATTATTTATGTAAAAATAATATTGTATATATATAAAATCATACTAGTAGATTTGCATTGTTTAATACCTATTAGTTATAGTATAAATCTGATCAAAATTGTTAATTATTTAGCCAAATTTTAAATTATTTAACTCTAGTTTTAAACAAGTAAATACAATTTTAACTAGAATTATAACTTATATTTATTAAACTATACAAATCTGTCAATATGTTTTGTAATACAGTTAACAAAAAATTTTAAAATTTATTGTAATTAAAGTTAACATTTAGACTAAAATTAGAAATTAGATAATTATATAATAAAATGATTTAAGAAAAACTTTTTATTAAAGTATTAAAAATAGTTTTTAAAGCAGATTTTTAAAAAATAAATAATTTTTAATAAAACAAATAGTTGTTTTAGAATTTATTAATCATGTTATATTATATTATAATCTTGAAATTTAATTTGTAAATTAAATATTTGTATTTAGTATGCTTCTACAAACTAGACTCAAACCAGATTTTAATAAAGTTTAAGTTTAGTTTAATTTTTAAACCAGACTTAAACTTTTATATTTAAACTTTTTAGTCAAATTCAGATTTGGTCTGAATTCAGTCTGAAGTTTGAAAAATAGTTTGAGTTTAATTATAATTATATATATTTTTTGATGCTAAATAATTTTACTTAGTTCATAAAATAAGAATTAATTAATAAAATTTGAGAATATTAAAATTTTGTAGAATTTATTAATAAAATTTTACAAAATCTTAAATTTTATTAATTAATTCTAATTTCATATACTAACAAAATTTGTTTAGTGTTGGGTGTGGTGACTTAGTGAAGTAGTCAAGTTGTCACTCCCCAAGTGGCAGGTCTAGAGTTCAATTCCTACCGGTGACGATTATTGAATATCAAAAACTTGTATATCTCTGATATGTCAACTTAATTGGGTAT